TCTTCTGTGTATTCTTGCCACCTCTTCTTAATATCTTCTGCTTCTGTTAGGTCCATACCATTTTTGTCCTTTATTGAGCCCATTTTTGCATGAAATGTTCCCTTGGTATCTCTGATTTTCTTGAAGAGATCTCTAGTCTTTTCCATTCTGTTGTTTTCCTCTATTTCTTTCGATCTTTTGATCACTGAGGAAGGCTTTCTTATCTCTCCTTGCTATTCTTTGGAACTCTGCATTCAAATGCGTGTATCTTTCCTTTTCTCCTTTGCTTTTTGCTTCTCTTCTTTTCACAGCTATTTGTAAGTCCTCCTCAGACAACCATCTTGCCTTTTTGCATTTCTTTTCCATGGGGATGGTCTTGATCCCTGTCTCCTGTACAATGTCACGAACCTCTGTCCATAGTTCATCAGGCTCTCTGTCTATCAGATCTAGTCCCTTAAATCTATTTCTCACTTCCACTGTATATTCATAAGGGATTTGATCTAGGTCATACCTGAATGGTCTAGTGATTATCCCTACTCTCTTCAGTTTAAGTCTGAATTTGGCAATAAGGAGTTCATGATCTGAGCCACAGTCAGCTCCAGCAAAATCGAAACTGAAGATGAAAACCTAAGTATTAGTTGCAATCAGAGGTTCTCATCTCTATGCTGTGCTCTCTGGCATCCAAGGAGCCGCCATGCATATGGAGCATCTTCTCCAGAGCCACCACCTACCAGATTACTATTCCCCAAACAGGTGTAGATGCTATAGTGGACAATGACCACCCCCTTTAATAGAGAGATTACTGACTCCTTGATGGCCTTTGTCATTACTGATTGAATCAACTGATACTAAAAGATAGCTACTAGCCTATATCTGGCATATATTAAATTCTCAATAAAATTTTGTTAAATAAAGAGGGGGGTCTGCAAAATTATATTGACATTAAAAGGGTCCTTTTTCTTGAGGTAGTGGGGTCCTGGGACCAAACAAAGTTTCCCTCTGTACCCATGAATTTCATTTCCATGACAGACATAGTTGGCCCTGGCACCCATTCTGTCCTATGAGTCTGTGTATCTATCATTACTTCATATCCATGCATTATCTGAAGCCAGAGCCTCTTAGACCATCTCTGAAGTCCTTCCATCCTGATGTCTATGGAGCTGCTGAACCCTAGAGATGGCAGTAAGTGAGCACAGAGTATGTGTCTGATTCTGAGCACCCAGCTGGAAGCCTGCACACAGCAGGTTATCAGGTAAGCCTGGAGAGATGCAGGAGCTTCAAACAAATGAACCAGGTGGACCTCAGGCCTTTGAATTCAGTGAGTTCTAGCCTGGAGGCACAGCTCTGCCCACACTCTCCTCAGTGTGTGTATGTCTCCAGCCCCGATGTCTATCAGCCAGTCCCTCCCTCCTTCATCAGGATTTACTGATATTAGTTACCTCGGTCCACTACAAATCATGGTCCTTCCTCACAGTCAACCTGGTTGGTCCTTGCTCACTAAGTTGGAGTTTGTGGTTCTGAGAATCCATGCGGGACACTCAGCAACCTCCCACCCCAGTGCTCCCACCCTGGCTGGATGTTGCTGCTACAAACACATTTGCATGGGGTCACTCTGGAGGGCTGTCATCCGACATTTCAAATCACCCATCATGGGCAGTAAGTACCCCAAGAAGGATCAGCTCATCTGAGGTGAGTGGGCATGTAAAGGAGTAAGGAGGATACCTGGACTGCCACCAAGGCCTGGGAGCATGGTTGGCCAGGAGAGTCACACAAAGAAGATCAGGGTCAAGGGCTAAAGGGAAGATTTGGTGGGGGGATCCTGACCCTTGGAAGCATCTCTCTCCCAAGGAGAGTTGACTTTCCGCTGGCTGTGGGCATCCCTGGGGTGGTGCCTGCAGCCAGAGGTTGGAAGCTGGCAGCAGGCTCCCTCTGAGCCTCCTTGAGGCAGCGCTTGGGCTGGGAGGGGGTGGGAGAGGTCAGTGATCTGTCTTCCTCACTGGTGCTTTGTTTTTTTGAGACAACATCCAAGTCATCATCAAGAGAGATACCTTTGCCTATGAGAGAAGGAAGTACCCCTCCCTCAAGGTACTCGGTCTTGCCAAGTGATGGGCTCTCAGGTTCCCTTTACGAGGAAGTCACAATACTCTCCTGTCCTCAAGTCTCAGGAGTGTCCAATGGGAAACCCAGAGCTGGACCTCCTCCCAGAGAGTGATGTTCCCTGTTGGACATCTGCCAGAAGCACCGCTTAGATGCTCAGGGCACAAGGCTGAAGGCTCTGCTCTGCTGGGTAGGGCTGGGGAAGCTGAGGCTGGTGCCCAGACCCTGGCAGAGATGCCTGTGTAGCTGGCGACCTTTGCTCTCAACCACCTGCCCTCACCTTGGCCCTCAGGGCTTCCCCACGGGGACCACAGGGATCAATAGCACAGCAGGCTGGAGTGAGCAAGGAATCAGGAGCCACAAGGCCTGAGTTCTAGTCCCAGCTCTTCCACTTCCTGTGTGACCTCGGCAAGTCACATAACCTCTCTGAGGCCCTGTTTTCCAGTCTCCAAAATAAGGTGAGATCTGTACCATCTACTTCATAGGATGGTTTTGAGGAATGTGAAAACTCTGGGGAGGAGGAGGATGGTACTGCAGACGAAGGTTATAATGAGGTGGGGTCAGTCGTTCTCCCTTTTCCCAGGCCCCTTCCTCCTGCCAGGGTTGCTGAGGTGCACATGCTCATCCTCTCAAGAAGTTAGATCAGATTCCTCTTAGATTGTCAGCCAGAGGCTTGCAGGAATGGTGTGGAGGCTCCTAAGAGCCTGAGTGAAGGCGGGAATTGGAGCAGGCGTGAACTTCTGAGGTTTCCACCACCACTTTGGGTCCATTTGAGGAGGGTGTTCAGTCCTGGTCTTGCTGTGGCCGCGTGGCTGTCGGCCTTTCTCTGCTTTCCTGGAGGTGGGGAGGGTACAAGTCTTTCCTGTGGTCCTCACAGTTCAGCGGCAACTTCAAGATGGCAGGTCCTAACTCAGGGGGTCTGCTCTGCCCCAGTCCCCTGGGCCCAGGACCTCTCGAAGACCCTGGCAGTGACAGGAGTGGACAGCAGGCCTCTGGGCTCACCCGGTGTGCTGTGTTTTATAAATCAGCTCTGTCCGAGATGTTCTAGCCTGACCCTCAGAGTTCACATCACAGATGCTCAGGTTAGAGGGGGTTGGCTGCCCTAAGCCAGGTTGTCTAATAATCAACTGGGAGGAAGTGTGCGTGGGCCCACATAGGTTTCTTCATTCCCCCGAACTCTAGCCCTTTGACCATAACATGTATGCAGCACCTTCCTAAATACCTCAGCCCTTCATTTTGATTGTAAAACTACAAGGTCAGGAAGTCCCCATCTGAGAGATGAGGACACTGGGGTTCACAAGGGGTGGAGCAGACTGACCTGCCCCAAGTCAGATGGTTGAGTGAGTGACATAGCTGGCGTGAAAGTCCCCCTCTGTGTTTGTCCCTAGTTTGGTTTTCCACAATCAGCAGGTCATAAAAATAGATACTGGCTAGCGGAGACATTGCTCAAGGCTTGGGCAAGCTCCCTTGGACGAGGTTCAGCCGCTGGATACCTTCTGTCCCCTCTCTCCCACCTGTCCCCAAGATCAGAGCCCAGGCGCTGACCCTGGCTGGCCCTCTGGCTCCTTCCGCCCCCTGCTCTGTCCCTCGGCACCCACACTGGGAAAGGCGTTTCTCACTCACCGGGCGGGGGCGTGTCTCCCGGAGGAAGGACTTGAGGTCTCCTCCTGCCATGAGCTCCAGCAGGATAAATCGGGGCAGGGCTTGCAGACTCACGCCAATACAGCGCACGATGTTCTGGTGGTTGAATTTGCTGCAGAGTGGAGGGGAGTAACCGAATTTAACTGAGCTGAGTCTGCGAAAATCTTAAGTGGGCCAAGCTGGGTACAGAGTTATGTTTTCAGAGCCACATTATGTAAAAGCTTTCTGTAAATGTGGCAGCAGGGGTCCCAGGCTGGGCCTAAGCAGAGGAGAATCTGGTTGCTGAGCAGTTGGAAGAACCAGAGGGCAGGCCTGGTGGGGGTTCAACATGCGTGGAGTATACTTGCTTGGAGTGGGGGGCTGGGGAGCGGGGGAGAGGGCTGCACACAGGTACTGAGTGAGAAGGCTGGGGTGGAGGTGGGCAGGGAGACAAGGGTGTCCAGGAGGCTGGCACCAGGACTGCTGGCCAGGGGTTGGATTCTCAGAGGAAGGCCTCAAGTGGAAGCTGGAGGGCCTGCTTCCCCGAGGGCCTACCTGCTGACAGCGTGTGGAAGAGAACAAGGAAGAGGGCCGCTGGATCCCACCATGGACCCTTCGCGGGGGTGCTGAGATTTGGGCTTTCTTGTTAACGTGATCCTATGAAGACACATGAGGCAGTGGGGCCAGGGAGCTCCACGTGGGCACACTTGGGCAGAGCTGATGGACTGGGTGACCGTGCACCCAAATACAGTGCTGCTTAGTTACTGCAGAGTAGGGAGACTGAGTGACTCGGGTCTCCTTCCATCTACTCTTCTACTTTCCAGGTTTTATTCAATGATGACTATTACACGGGCAACCAGGAAATACATCATTTAAGCAGGAGTTGAGCCTGCCACGCATCCTCCTATGGACCCAGTGCATCACACACACTGCTCTGGCCTCATTTTCTTGGCCACTTCCATCAAGGCCGCCCTAGCCTGTCAGGATGTTTGAGGCTCCCCGGTGCATGGGGAGGCCACGAGCCTGGCCAGCTCTCAAGGTCGAACCTCTGCTTTCAGAGCCTTGGACACGGTAACTCCCAGTGGTGGGCCCCAGATCCACCAGCTGAAGGGTCGGACCAGCTGGGTGGACCTGGGTGGGCGCCTTCCATCATGTGGGGGCCCATTTCCTTTACTTGAGAGCTGGGAGTTGGGATGGGTGAAGGACATGGTGGAAGAGTTACCTGGAGGAAGATTGTATCTTCCACTGTCAACAGTCAGCATGCTATGTTTTTTAAGAAAAGGGGGAAAAGAACCAATGGGTGACACAGGGGTGCTGGTTGAAGGCCAAGTGACATTGACTGGGGCTACAAGATTCTTTTCCTGAGAAAACCAGATGGGGAATGGTCCACTCTGGTAAGATGTGCTAAGAACTTCGGTGGGGAGGTCTCCTGTTAGACGGGAGGGGTGCCCTGCAGGACAACCCCGTGTCCCTCACAGGCTTGGGGTTGTGGTGTGGGTGTCTCTGTCGGTCGTTACCTGATGATCAGGGCTTCCATGAGGAAATCCAGTTCGTCCTGTTCGGAGCACACCTCCGGCAGCGTCTGGACACAGAAGAGAGGGTGGGAAGGGGGAGGAGCTGTGAGCCGCAGAGGTCAGAGGCTGTTGGCAGAGGGCTGCGGTTACAGAGACCACGGCCAAGGTCAGGCCCACGAGGGAGCCCCCTCTTACCTTTACAGCCACTTGCAGGGGGCTGGGGTCATTGGGCATTCCAGACACCTGACCTTCATACACCTCCCCAAACGCGCCGTGGCCCAGACCCCTGTGCAGAGGAGAAGGTGTGATGAGGCGGGGGCACACTCAGTGGCCACTCACAGAAGGCAGGGGTCACGCACACCCTCAGTAGTAATGTCCTCGGTGTGGCTTTGCTCCACAGTCCCCAGCAATATGGGCAAGAAAGGTTCCAAGCCAGGCTTCATGACATTGGCTGACATTCCTTCCATGAACACTTACTGAGTCTCTAATATTTGCCCGGGTCCTAGAGGTGACTAAGACATGGATCTGGTGGGAAGGACAGATGGCTGGCAGACACCTCCTGGAGAGCACTCAGTGAATGACTGACAAGTGCAAAGGGTTCTCTGGGAGCTGGGAGGGGGAGGGGAACAATGCTTGGGGAGGAGCATTTGGGTGGTTTTGAGGAGCACCCCATTTTTCCCATCTAGTCTTCCTCTCACTGTTCCAACCCCATAAGTTAAATAATTATTAATTATTTAAATAATTAACCCACTAAATGGCCCTGGACATTAAACCTTCTCCCCTCCACCGGGAGGGCTGGGGGTGCCCCGAGGGGTGGCTCTGCTGGCCTCTTGTTGTCAGAGGAATCTGTGGTCCAGGGATGACATCTGGCTGCCTAGAACCCTCCCTTCTCTGCCTTCCCCACCTCCCACTGCCCCAGCGGACAGTGCTCACCGGATGAGGGTGATGTTTTTCCGTGGCACTTCCTTCAGGTCACTGATGGAGGAGGTCTTGCCGGCAAAACAGTAGTTGGGATTGTAGTCGGTCATAATGGTGGAGGTGCGGAGTTTGCTCAGCTTGTACTCCGGGCTCTGCAACTCCATCTGCATGGCTTGCAGCTCCTGGTGCTTCCGGCGGTACACTGCAGACAGACGGCGGTCCATACAAGGTGACTTGGGCCAGGCCACCTCCTCCAGGAAGCCTTCCTGAATCTCTAGCTCCTCCGCTGGGGTCTAAATCTTTTTCCATCACTCTTAGTCATACTAACAAAATGATTATAGATGTGAAAGTGTACCTTTCATTGAAGATTAAAGTAAATGTAAAGTTTAAAATCATATGAATGGAAAAGATTTATTGTATCATGCAGGGGCAGAGGCACATTAGTTTGGGTCCTCTGAGAAGCAGACCCAGGATAGGATTAGAAGTGCAAGGGTTTCATTCGGGGAAATGCCTATGAGAGATGATCCAGGGGGAACCCAGGAAGGCTGGGAAGCCACTAGACTGTTTTGACTCCATGTGAAGGACAGGGTGAGGGAAGGTTGAGCAAAGACTCTAGATGGCCATTCAGTCTAAAAAGGTTCCAGTAAGGCTGTTGGGAAGTTCTGGAGTCAAAGTGGGCCATTAGAGGAGTCCCCTCCAGGAGGGGGCTTGCCTCAGTAGCTCTGCTCTGCCCAGGGCTGCATGAGGCAAACATGGCAAAAGACTTGAGAGCACAGCTGGGGCTCTTGGTCACCTGTGTTTCCTACAGATGAAGAACCACCAAGCCACATAGCTGGAGACAACAACTTAAAGCCAGTCTCTAATTCCACCTTTGTTACAAGCTGTGACACTGACAACTGACATGTGACCTCTTTGGATCTCAGTCTCTTTCTCTGTAAGCAGGGACAGTAACACCTGCCCTGTCCCCTAAACCTCCACTCCCCATCCCCTGGGATTGTGATAATGAAATGAATTCACCAAAACAGAATAGTTTCAGAGGGGATTCCCTGGCTATCCAGTGGTTGGGACTCAGTGGTCTCACTGCTGGACCTGAGTTCAATCTCTGGTCAGGGAACTTAGATCCCACATGCAGAGTAATGCGGTCAAAAGAAATGGTTTTGGAAAGTTCTAAAGAGCTCCCCAATACAAGTGACCACTATCACTGTTATTACTATATGTGAGAACATTCTGTATATAAGGCAATATCCATGGGAGGGGATTCACAGGGTGGATTCTGCTTTTAAAGCTCGGCCCCACCACTTACGGGCCAGGGCAAGTGAGTCAACTTCAGTTCCTCCTCTATGAAACATGCCAACTGTGATCACAGGGTTCTTTGAGGGTTTAGTGAACTAAAATGTGTTACTCGCTCAGCGTGTGGTGAGTGTGCAACAAGGTAGCTCTTGTCATCCTGCTCTTTGCAGGATGGCGTCATGGGAATCACAAAGGTGCACTGAGAACAGAGAATTCCTGTCCACCCCCAAACTCCCCCGGCCCCATGGGGCTGGACTCAGAGTGCTGCCTGGAGCCGAGCCTTTCTTTTCCTTCTGCCTCCCCTCAAGTCTCTGCCCACCTGCCCCGGGCATTTCCAGCAGAAAGAGCCTGGCTGGGCCCTCTGTGATGTGCAGAGCAGTGCCCCTTGGCACACAGGCCTAATGGGAAACACTGAGAAACCAGCTCTGCATTCTCTGTGGAGGGGGAAGGGTGGGCTGGAGGTGTGAACCAGACTAGAAGAGTCCGCTGAAGTCCATGTCTGATGAGAACTAAAGTGAGGTCTGGAGGGGGCTGGCGAGTGGGGGCGGTAGTAAGCTTTAGCCATGGTGTTCTCCTCTGAAGAAGACCCCTCCTGAGAAGCCAGCAGGCTCTACCCAGGCTGAGGTTCAGAATCAGGGCTCCTAGGGAGCCAGGAATGTGCTGGAGACAGAATGAGAGGGGCTTCTGCTTTGGCTTGGCTTGGGCTGCCCTCATTACCACCGCCCAGAATGACCCTTCAGCCTGCAGCCTGAGATGCCATTCTATTCTGCCAGATCTTCCTTCCCTGCCCCGCTCTGGAAGTGCTGGGGCTCTGGGACACTCACCGATCATGATGCCGGAGAAAGCCAGGACGAGGGCGGCCACCAGGGCAGAGGTCACAACAGAGAGAATCAGTGAGAGTGGCAGATGGGGCTCCGGGGTGGGCGACACTGGAAGACAGTCCCCACGGGGCACGGATGACCACATTGATTCTCCTCTGAGCTGCCCCCACGTCAGAAAGACCCGTCTCAATCCTGGACCCATGGACTGCCAGCCTTCTCGGAGAACGAGGGCATGAAGCAGTTTCATCCTGGTTTTACAGCTTTTAACAGCTTTTGTGGAGAGGCACTATGTGACAGGGATAAATGTCACAATCTTGACACTGATCTGAAACAGCAACTGCGCATGACAAGATGAGGATGGAAAGTGAGCCAGTAGGGGCTGTAGAAGCGATTCAGGTGCCTTGTGTGTGTGCGTGAGAAGTCATTTCAGTCGTGTCTGACTCTGTGCACCCCTATGGACTAAAGCCCACCAGGCTCCTCTGTCCATGGAATTCTCCAGACAAGAATTCTGGAGTGGGTTGCCATGACCTCCTCCAGGGGATCTTCCTGACCCAGGGATCGAACCCACATCTCTTATGTCTCTTGCACTGGCAGGCGGGTTCTTTACCACTGGCGCCACCTGGGAAGCCCCTCAGGTGCCTTAGTGAGTGAGTGAAGTTGCTCAGTTGTGCCGACTCTTTGCGAGCCCGTGGACTGTAGCCTACTAGGCTCCTCCGTCCATGGGATTCTCCAGGCAAGAATACTGGATTGGGTTGCCATTTCCTTCTCCAGGAGATCTTCCCGATCCAGGGATCGAACCCAGGTCTCCCACATTGCAGGCAGACACTTTACCCTCTGAGCCATCAGGGAAGCCATCAGGTGCCTTAGGTGACTAGAAACTCAGTATGACCCAAAGATAGAGTGTGCCTGTCAGTTAGACTCTGGAGGCTGAATGGATGGTCTATCCACGAGAGCACCGGGCCCAGCGTGTGGGAGGGAGAGCTGGGTGCATGATGGTACTGACCACACCAGGCACCGAGCCTGGTCCTGGACACGGCATTTCAAAAGGGATGTGGACAACTGCAACAACAGGATGGGAAAGAGACATAGACTCGTGTCCCGTAGACGGGATGGACATAAACGGGCACTTTAATCTGGAGGAGACTTGAGGAGGAGGATTGCAACATGCTCTTCAGATGCCGCGTTCAAAGGGCCACTATAAGCAGGGAGCCTAGGGGTGGAAGTTGGGAGGAGAATGGGTCTGGCTCCGTAATTCCCCAATGGGAGACCCTGTGTCTTAGGAGTACTGAGGTCCTTGGAGCTGGGGTGTCCGGTGGAGATGAGCTGGCCCCTTGGTGGCATCCTGCGCTAGTGGTGGGACCAGGTGACTTATGACTCCTTCCCAAGCCATGACCCACCTTTTGCACATAGGTCCCTTTGCCTGTCGTCTGAGCACCCGTGCTGGGAGCAAACAGCAGTGTCAGGAAGTTTACAAAGCTGCATCTGAGGTGTCCCAGAACCATGGAAACTAGCTGTGGCTCCAGCTCTGTGCCCGCCCACCACCCAACCCCTTACCAATGCAGGAGACACCGTCCTCGGCCAGCACGGTCCCATGGTCGCAGAAGCAGATGATTTTGTGGCTCTCGGGGTCCATGTGGCACTCATCTACCTCGCAGTGGCTGCAGTTTAGGTAATGCTTAATGTTCACTTCCCCGTGGCCCTCCATCACTGGTGACAAGGAGGGAGGGTCAGCCTCGGGCAGAGGCCAACCTGCACCCACCCCCGGGCTCTGCACTTCATCTCCAGCTGCAGGTCCCTGGTCCTACGTCTCACTGCCACTGGAAGCACTGCCTGTGCAGGCAAGTCCCTGATGCATCTGGTGAGTGAAACTCAGAGGACCTGTAGGCAGGTGGGAGGGTCCACACGATGGACCCTTAGGTTGGCTGCCACAGGCACAGGGCCCATTACTGTTGCATTTTCCTAGGGCTGACCTGCCTGGAGTCAGTCTTCTTTTGTGAACGTATCAGATCACTCATGCTGATTTCCAGAAAACTTGGTGAGGCGACCACTAGGAAGATTTGCCTGCAAGGGACCCACCATCACACCTGTGTGCCCTGGACTCACTGAGTAGCCCTGGGGTTTCAGCTGGGAGGGAGGGAGCACTGGCCCAGGGAAGCGGGCTCTGCTACTTGGCAGAGGGGGTACCTTTTAAAGCCGGGGTGTACAGGATGCCCAGTGGATTGATGAAAGAAACCCCGTCCTCCCCGTCCATCTCGGGGTCATTGTTTGAGGCTGCGTTGCCACCTGTGGCAAACCAGAGAAGAGTTTAACGCAGAGAGGTGGGTGCCTAAGTCTGGATACACGTGTGCATCAGCAAGGCGAGCGGCAGGGTCGGGGAGGGGCCTCGAGGGCGGGGCGGTGGGAGGGAAGGGAGCTCATGGCACACAGGCTGCAGATGGGGCTCGGTTCAGTAGCTGCTGGGTGCGTGGGCCACTGTCTCCTCCAGGGCCACGATCTCCTCTGCTGCTCTGCTGGGCTCTCCCAGGAAGCAGTCCATGTGATCAAGAGTCAGAAAAGTTCTAGTCTCCCTAGGCTGGGTTGGCCCCTTTGCCCCTCTTCCAGGACTGCCTGGGGTGGGTGGTGCTCCTGTCCCATCCGGTGAGGGTTGGGGCAGGGGGGTGGGCCCCTGTGCCTTTAGGCTCCTGTCCCTCCTTTCAGCGGGGCTTGGGTTATCTTTGGGCTCCCCGCCTTGGGCTCCTCCCACCCACCCAGGGCTTGGAAAAGAAGAGTATCCAGTTAACACAAGCATCTTACACACAGCCTTAAAGCAAAACACAGACAGCACATCACAGCACGTGCATGCATCGTGTCCTAATCTGGAGGGCGCTGGAGCCATCATCTCCCAGCCTCTCAGCTTCAGAAGGCTCTTCTGCTCTGCTCCGAAGCCCAGAGGAGAGCCGGGGCCAGGGGCCAGCTGCGTGCTGAAGGGCTGGGCTGGGACAGCCCACGGCTGCTCTCAGGAGTAGCCCCCATCAGCATGGGGAATGGTGCCCCTTTTGGAAGCTGGTGGGCTGGGGTAGGGAAGGGAGAGTAGGGAGTCCCCAAGGCCCGAAGCTGCAAACCAGGCCCTCGGGGAGCTGGCTTGGCAAGGACTCTGGCCAGGCCATCCAAAGGGAGGAGTCTGGCCTCCGGGGTTCTCATGCGTCCTTGGGGGTGGCTCAGAGAGGAGTCTGGGAAGCCAAGGCCCCTTTATCATCAGCTTTGGGGGAGATCAAGAGTCACTGGGATCTTGATGCTGTCCTGCCGAAACCTTGAGGCAGGATGCTGGCTCGGGAGCCAGCACCCTACCTCTGGCTCGTTTGGCGGGCTGGGAGAAAGACGTGCACGGTCACATCACAGTCCACATGTGGGGCGGGCCAGGGGCGGGTAGGCGAGGGCTGGGGAGAGGATAGGGAAGGGAGGTGCCTAGGACTAAGAGGGGAGGGAGTGACACCTTGAACACGAATCATCTTTACCTATATATCCTCCGCCTCCTCCACCGGAGGAGCACCCCCCTCCACCCCCTCCGAAACCCCCTCTTGTCTCCCACCCCCACTTCTTCATGGCCTGGGGGCAGGAATGTCCTCCGGTGGCACCTTCCAGCAAAGATTTTCCAGACCAGAGCAAGGAAGTGTTATCACTCCAGCCACCTCCACCACCTGTAGGCAGACAGAGAAATGCCTAAGTGAGGATTCCAGCTGGTTTGGGCGGCTGCTGGGTCTGACAAAGAACACAGGACTCGGTGTCTTCCAGTGGTACTTGTCCCTATCCAGCGCCCAGGGGGTTTTTCTTCAATGGGGCCTGGGGCCTTCAGAGTCCACAGCTAGAAAATCAGGCATCTGCCCTTTGCCGGAGAGAGACCTGCTCTGGCCACAGCTGTGCATGTCCAGATGGGAGCAGGCCGTGTACCCCTGCTTCCTGTCAGGCCTCTGGCTCAAAACCCCAAACTGCTCATTGAGGGATGGGGGTGGTGGTGGGGACAGGCAGCATGACGACTAAATCTGTTCCTCTGCCTTCCCTCTGGGCCTGCCAACTCCTGAAGCTCCTGGCCTTCATGTCATTAACTACTCATCCCAACAAGAGCAAGGACCAACTGTCAAAACCCCACCAAGGTCACAGCAGTGAAATTCCTAGCAGCAATCCTAGATTAGGCACCAGATAACCCAAAGGGCTATAATTGTTTACTAGGCAAGAGCTTCCCTGGTCTGAGCCTTGGTTTCCTCACCTGTAACTTGGAGATAATGAGACTCGCCTCAAGGGGTGGACATTAGGATCAAAGGAGAAAGGGAGTGTGTGAGATGTTTTATAAACCACCAAGTGAGGGATCACTGGGAATCTGTGAGACACCCACACACATGAGACGGCCTCACACCCTGAAGCCCAGGTAGAGTCTTGCTAGCCGGTGTCTAAGTTGCTGCTCCAAGGTCAAGAGCAAAGAGGGCTGGGGGCAGAGGCGGTGATGCTCTGGCTACAACGGCAGCAGCTGGAGCTGTGCTTCCCTACGCCTGGGCCTGCTCTGAACTCTTGCAAAGGGTCTGTACAGAGCTAGCTTGATTGCAACTTTATCTTAAGGCCACAGGCAGACCACAATACATCTCTCCCAAGGCCCTTGAAACTCCAGGATCCCCACTTTGTCTCCCCCTATTGTTTCCTATGACATTTCATGGGGCAATTTACTCCCAGAGACTCCAAAACCCTTTCTGCTCCAGGAGAAGGCGGGTGGGGTGTGTGTGTGTGTGTGTGTGTGACTAGAGAAATAGCAGTGCCTCGGGCTGCTGGGACTGTAAGGGTTAATCTGCCTGGATACGTCTAGAACTCCTGGCCAAGGTTCTTCTGGACCCAGAGGGGGCAGCAGAGGGACGTGTAGGTGGGGGGAAGCTGCAGACAGGGCTGACTCTGGGGCGAGCAAGAGGGAGACAGGTTTCAGGAAATGAGGTCAAGGTCACAAATAAGCTTGGGTCTAGAACAGGGATAACCAGAGCCCTGGGCAAGTCATGGGGACCATCTGCCAGTTCTGGAAGCGGCAGGACTTCAAGAATCTGGCCTCCCTCTGCCAGCCGCAGAGTGGGTGTGGGCCTCTCAAGGCTGCTGTCTGTGTCATGTGGTGGAGGGAAGGCCCCCTCAGCTCCATTAGCTGGGAGTGGGCTCTGGTGGCTGGCTACGGGGTCCAGGAACTTAGTACATAAATTAGGATGAGATGGGCCTGAAGCTAAGTCTGCCCCCCTTCTCCTGCCCCCAGCACCCTACCCTTGCATCCTGCACATCCCAGCCTTCAAGCAAATGTGTGGAAAAGAAAACAATGGGCATAAAAGTAAAAACACATCAACAACAACGTTTTAAAAAAGGATTAAGTGTGCAACTTTGGTCATCTTGAGGGAAAAAAAAAACCCCTACAACTTTCAATGAGCTTCTTGACACATCTGTAAAATGAAAATAATATGTCTGGAAAACAAAAGAACATGCATACTAGATGTGGAAATGTTTCATAATTTATTAAATGCTGACTGACATAAAGGGTGCTGTAAATACCACTGGGGTCATGTCTCGCTGTGGACACAATGGCTGTTTCTCCTTCCTCTTTCTCTAGCCATCTCTCAGTTGAAGAGAAAGTTTGAGTATTTATTTTAATTAAGCTCAAATCTCTAAATGCCTTCAAAAATCCTCCCTTGGTCTGAGTGTGGAGAAAAGAAAACGCAAAGATGAATGGTTGACTTCAGAGGAATCAGGGAATTCACATCTCCTTCAGAGTCTGTCCCCATCTCTGTGTGACTGGCTCTCACTAAGGAGGCAGACAGCCCTTGTCATGGACAGAGATTTTCCTTCCATGTGAGGAGTGTGTGAGCTGGCAGCCCAGGGCCTGGAAGTACAAACAAACCACAGGGACCTGGGAGGCTGACCCCGCTCAGATTTCTTCCATCTGCTCATATCTACTTGCATTTGATAAATCCCAGGGAGGGTTGGGTTGGCAGTCAGAACACTGCCTCCTGCCTCATTTTCTCAATGACCTTCTGCAAGTCCAAACCCCATACCAGCCAGGTGGCCTCTGGATCCCCAAGGTGTGACCTGTCTTTCCTCTTTTGTTCCCAGTACCAATATCCAGAGCTCCCAGCATCTCAAGGGCCCATGACTAAGATGCCCACAGGTGTGTGATGGTGCCCAGCCAAGGTGAAGCTCACACAGTCCTGGGGGATCATTCTGGGAGAGGCTGGGCTTGCAGAGATTTACCTGCAGCTCCAGAATTGCCGTTCAGCCCTAGGACTGAAGAGTTATTCTCCAGTCTCTCTGGGTGGAACGTGTCTGTCTTGGCCCCATAGGCCCTGCCACCACCACCGGCCGCAATGATCAGAGGCACCGGCACGCCATCCTTCATCTGCCAGGGGAGAGACATTCAGAGATTGAGAAGCCAAGCAGGGCTCCCACCCTGGAGACCCCCGAGCCATTTAAATGCTTAAACGTGTCTGAGCGCCTGCTGGGCAGTGGGTGACATCTCGGTGGTCCGAGGGCTCCCATCTCATGTTACAAGAGCCCATGAGCTCTTCTGTCCCCTTCCACCTCCAGCTCCTGTATCAGTCCAGGTTTGTAAATGAAGCAAAAGCACCAGGAGATATAAATGTCTATGGACACTGGGAGGTGAGGATCAGTGTCCTTCGAGGCTGTTTATACCGCCCCTTTCCTGAAGCGCCTCTCGAGCCTCAGGGATCTGGGAGCTGGTGCTCAGGGCAAGTCTCTCTTCTCTCCTTCCTCTGCACGCAGGGCTCTCTGCTTTGACCTCACAACTTCAAGATTAAGCCCTCAGCACTGCTGGCCCTGCAGGAGGACCCAACAGGAAATCTTTGTCTATCTTCGATCAGAAAAGTCCACCTGAGGACACAGGAGGGCACAGTGGGACCCCCTGGGGCTCTGAAGCAGGATGGTGAAGGCCTGCCTAGTGAAACTGGGCTGGGACATCAGCATGAGAAGGCCTGCCCTTTCCTGGACAGACAGGAAACCTTAGATCCCTCTGGGTCTCCGCTTCCTCAACCTTAAATGGAGCTAAGAGCACCCAAGGTGCTTGGTTCCTAGGTCTGTCCTGAGGGTTCAAAGCTAGGACGCAGAGAAGGCACTGCCCTGGGGAATGGCGCACAGACCTCACCTTAAACACGTAGGTGGCTCCTCCCCCTCCTCCGCCCCCTCCTGCCCACTCGTGCACACTTTTGTTCACGCGGATTTCTTCTTCTATCACGTTGTTTTCTCCAATGCAGACTTTCTGGATTAATCGGTTTGTCTGGAGAAACAAAAACACCTCAGGTTTGTGCCCAGGGTCCTCCGCCTCCCAGCAGACAGAACTTCTACGCTAAAAGATAGGGTCTGACCATCTCTCAGATAGATTATGGTCTAGTTGAGGAGACAAAAAATACACATGGATAACTGTCACTCTGGGAAATATTGGAGAAGGACCACAGGGACATCTTAGACAGAAAATGCATGGGAAGTTGAGGAGGGAGAGCGAGGCTTTGTTGCTGGAGTGCTGAGCATAGAGGACTGCCTGGGAGAGGTGGCATTCAGTTGGGCCTTGCAGGATGTGGAGCTTTTTAAACACTGAGAATGGGGGAAAGTGACGACATTGCAGGGGAGGAGATTAGCAGGAAGTCAGAGGGAAAGTGCTAAGTGGGGGTATTTGGGGGAAAAGGGTAAGGAGTTTCTTCAGCTCAGAAAAGTCCATTTTAGGACAGAGAGGTGGTCCAGGACAACTTGTTAGGACCCTTTGGATTCTGAAGAGGGGATGACAAAGGTCCCATGAGGTAAGACAGGGCTGGAGGGAGTCCAAATGGGAGTGGGTAGAAGAGACTAAACCAGTCAGATCATGGCCAGAGGCCTCGAATATAGAGAAAGAGCTGGACTTCATTCTCTAAGCAGTGAGGAGCCATTGAGGTTTTTTGAGAAGTTGCAGTTTGAAGTATCATGTAAAGAGAAAAAAAAAAAAGCGGATAGCCAAACTTGGATTTTATTCCACCTGATGCAGGCCTAGGCATCTGGGAGTCTCTGGGGACATGCTGGAAATTCCTGTGACCCAGAATCCTGGAATCCCTGAACAAAGAGGGCAGGGTTTCAAGAAGAGCCACTATGTTTATTGGTCACAGCAGCTGAGATAAACTCACCACACATCGGTCTGACCTCAGAGGAAAACGAATTTTCTTTCACTTAATAGAAAAAAGGCCAATAAAACATCAAATTTTCATCAAATGTGGCTGTGTAACCAGCCAGTGGACGTGGCAATTCATCTCGAGCCACTCCTTATGCTAAATCACTCAGGGGTGCCGGGAATGAGTACTAGAGAAATTTCCAGATAAATAGCTGAGATGCAATTTGTTTTATGGCATTTTGGATTTAATGATGGAAATAATTTGATATTTTCTAGAGTGGGTTTAGTGTGGTTGGAAGGCTGTGAATTGCTATTGTAGACAGCTGACATTTCTCCTGTGTACGTGCAGTGCTGGTCAGGGCCGGGGTAGGGGCAGAGTGGCATGGAGTCTGCTGGAAGGAAACCCTGCTAACTGCCACCTGGGGAGGCCCTGAGATGCTGGGGGCATTCCCTGTGGGCAGAGCCAGGGACAGGGGATGGAAATGTGTGCTGCCAGCCGGGCAGAGCAGAGCAGAGTTCAAGGTCCAGTCTAGCTTCCTGACTGGAGATTTGCTGCCCCATCTGCCTGGATCTGCCTCCTCCGTAAATTGGGAAGCTGCCCAGTGTGCTAAGAAGGTCCATCCCTCCGCCCTGCTCCTTTTCCTCCTGCCCTCCATCTGGCAGCAGTGGGGCCCCCCACCCTTTGGGGAGGCCCTCTTCTGAGCAGAACCTGCAGATGGCTGGAGGTCGCTGGAGGAAGCAGCTGGGCCGAAGGACGGCCTTTTGGTTTCCTAGAGCCCAGACTCATGGCCATGCCTCGCTGCTCTGGCTCAGGTGTCCCCTTGATTTGAGTCTCAGTCTGCAGCTTGCTGGGCCCACAGCAGCGTTTGCAAGAGATCACTTTTTCATGATTTGCTTTCTTTTTCTGACTTCCGTGAGGTTCTGAAGACATTTGAAAGACTTGAGAGAGCTGGGTGAGTGTGGGCTGACCTCTCAAAATATTTGCCTTGGTAGTGACAGGAGTGCTGGGAACTGACTTTTAGACCGATGGGTGGTTTTGCTGTCCTGGAGATGTTTGGAAATGTCTGGGGGCATTTTTGATTGTCATTTCTGATGAATGATACTGGTCAGGGATGCTGCTAAACAGGTGCAGAGGCCAGGGATGCTGCTGAACAACCTACAGTGCACAGGACCGGGACTGAGGGATGTGTGTGTGGGATGGGAGGCGGGGTTCCAGCAGCTGGAGCCCATTCCAGGCTCTGGTTGGCCAGGCACACAGGAAGAGCAACTCCATGCAGCAGTAGGAGAGTTGCCAAAACCTGCAGTTTAATTCTTAGGGTCCACTTCTTTCTCTAGAAGATCCTCTCTACACATCATTTTTCAGCCTCGGGAGGACCAGAGATTAAGGTGGTGCTTGTAAAAGGTTTTCTCCCTTACTCAAATGGGCCCGTGGGGGGAGCGGCGGTCTGGAGCTACTGGGAAGACCAATTCCTTTCCCCACGCCCATGCTATACCCAACCTGATCAGCAGAGGGGGCTGCCCTGTACATCCTCAAAGTCTAAGAGCAAGTAGATTGATTAATGGGGCTTCCCTGGCGGCTCAGACAGTGAAGAATCTGCCTGTAATGCAGGTAACCTGGGTTTGATCCCTGATCAGGAAGGTCCCCTGGAGAAGTGAATGGCAAACCTCTCCAGTATTCTTGCCTGGAGAATTCCATGACAGACCATGGGGTCGCAGAGTCAGACGTGACTGAGCGACTAACAATTTCAGATTGATTAATAAAATGATAAAATGCAGCAATCCAGAGGAACAAGAGATTACAACTGAATTAAAAAAGAAGGACGAAGTCTTGTGAAAAGACATAACTGATTACGATCCAATCAAGTAAAAGTCCCTTGCAGAAGTCAATGCAATCTTTTTGCTTAGATGAAAGAATTACATTAGCACTCAATAAATTCCTGTGAAAATTACAGCAGCTTGTAATTTAATGACTTAATATATTATATCAGGTTGGAAAGTCTTGATTATAGCTGCTAAATAAAAGGGTCCAGGCGTTTCTCAGGCACGAGGTTGCACCTGTGAAGCTTACTCCTGCTGCTTCGTTTTTACCCTCTATGGTGGGGTTGGGGATGGGATGCTGTACTTTACCCCTGGCTCCCAGCCTGAGACCTGTTTCTTAGGAGCCCTGAGGTTATTCTGTGGAATTGAACGCATCACCTTTGTTACCACTTCTGTCTTCCAAATCTGCTCGTGAATACATTTCTGGAGAAGGAGCCCTGTGTCCTGGGTCCCAGAAGCTGGATCCCTGCCCGGCCTCACCCGGTGCAGAAGTTCACCGTCAGATGAGGGTGTGGCCTGCCCAGCGTGGAGACTCGCCCTGTGGAGTGCTGAGTTCTCGTGCGGAACAGCCAGCACTGCTGGGTCTTGCCACCCCCAGCACAGGCGAGAGGCCTGGCTGCAGCTTTGTTAGTCCCCACTGTCTTCCCCTGCTGGTCACCTTAGATCACTACTGGCTTTCTTAAGTGCTGCCCTTGGATACCCCAGTGGGATCAGGAACCAGTAGGAAGGGCTGTCTCAGACTGGAGAGGATGACAGTCTAGCTTGTCAGGTGGTGTGCTATAAGAGGAAACGGGAGAAAGGGGGTAAAAACGGAAGCCCCGGCATGTTCGGGGCATCAGAAACAGGAGGCAGAGTCTCTGTGAGCATTATGAGTGACTCTGGACAAGTCTTTTCACCTCTGTGGTCTCCACTTTCTCATCTGTGAAATGGGGGTGGGCAGAGGTAGATTACATGGTATTCCAGCTCTGATTCCATGCTTAAAAAAACTTAAAAAATTTTAATCACACAAATAATATGTGAATACATTCTTTTTCTAACAATATCAGACATTATGGACAAATTATCCTAAACTCCAGTCCCCACTCCAGAAGCAACCGCCATTATCTGTGTCCTTCAGAGCTTTTTCTGTGGTTTTATGTACATATATTGGCTATGAGTCTGTGATTTCAAGCTGAATAAGACATGTTTGGTCTGGCATTTTCCTGTTTATAATGATATGGCTAAAAAAAACTATGCCCTTGCAAGAAAGCTTAGAAAGTGGGCTTCGACTCACACTTGTGCTGAGAGAAACAACTGTTTGCCCATTTCAGCAGAACTCAGGACTTCAGTTTTAAGGGCTGCTCATGAAACCCACGCCTCAGCCTCCATCCCCATAGGGATGTGCAGCGCCCAAAGCCACACCACCCACTTTCTCAGGCACCCAAATGGCCCTGGAAAGGGAGGAACGTGTGCAGGCAGAACAAGGGGTGAGTCCTGCCATTTTTGAATGAGAGCTCCGTGATGGGATATGTCTGGCGTTGGTGTCCCCAACCTGGGGACACCTGGGTCCTGGGGAAGGTGGAGGAGAAACTCCCGCTCTGGGTACTTACGCTGGGGCAGGCATCTTCCCCTTGCTGCCCGACCAGGATGTACAGCGTGTCGTCCTTCTCCAGGTTGAAGATGCCCAGCACAGACACGCCATGGGACCGCATCATGGTGTTCTTCCCACCTTTCCCACCAGCCGCCCCATAGCCGGAGATGCTGCAACAGGACAGAGAGCATGGGCTCCTGCCATGGGGTGTGAGGACCGACTCCCTTCCTGCCCACCCCACAGCTCCCAGCAGGCCGAGCACACCGCCCTTGTGCTGGAGGGCTGTCCCCTGCATCAGCCCACGAGGTTAGCAAGGAGGGTCCTCTGTCTACTGTCAGGAGAGGGCCGTCAAGTTCAGAGAGGGACAGGAAATTGCCTGATTCACAGAGCTAGGAGGATGAAGAACTAGTATGGGGTACAAGAGAAGGAGAGGGAGGATGGAGAGGGGAGACAGAGAAGAGAAGACAGGGAGAGTCTGCATTAAGGTGGGGTGTTGCGGTGATAGTGTCCCGAATACCTGGGGTTTCCTATTATGGATTTCTCTCCCTGTCCAAGATCAAAGGACTCATGTGGTCCACTTAGACAAGCAACTTTCCTATTCTTCATCTGTAAAGTGTTCCTGAACTTTCCTGCTCCTCATCTGTAAAGTGGGGATGAGAAAATACTACCTTCTAGCCTGTGTGTGTGGTGAAGGTTAAAGCAATGAGGTCACGTCTCAGAATTGCGGCTGGCATGTAAGAAGCTCTCACTGAGTATTTATTATTATTCTTACTGATGGGAGTAGCAGTAATTGACTCGGTACGAAGTTTTAAAGTCTCCCCACGGGCTCGAGATACAAGGAGCCCCACGTGGAAGGACTGAGGAGAGTGGTGTTTACGAGCACAGACTGTTTGTTCCCATCTCGCCAGAAACTCCTTCTGGAGCCTTGTGTGTGCAGACAACAAACAACCAATCGTGACGAAAATAAAACCAGAGTGTGGGGGTGCAGGGGTATTCCTGCTGCCTCTGAGGCTGTTGAGATGAAGTCCAAGGATGGGGGACAAAAAATACAGTTGGTGAACCATATGAGAAGAGCAGGGTGCTGTGGAGGCAGTTTCTGTGCCCACTGTACGCGCCTCCCCAAGACTGGCTGCCAGGAAGAGGGGTTTGGGGTCTTTCAAGTCCCTGCATATTCAGATCCAAGGTCCTTTATGAAAAGCTTCGAGGGAGAGCTGCAAGGTGATTTTGATTCTAGGAAATGTCCTTTGTTCCCAGCATGGGAGGGGGCTCCTGGGGGTTGTCCTAAGGCAGAACTCAGGCCCATTCTGCAGAGACAAGGCTGGAGGGCCAGCTGATGGCTGACGTGGCAGCTGAGGAACCAAGGTCTCCATAGAGAGTGAAGGAGCGTTGAGCCCATCGTTCTGTCTCCAGGGCCAGCTCCCCTGCGAGCTCGTTGCATGTTGGTGTAAGGCGTGTGCCTAAAAGGAGTTGGTAGATGGGCTCCAGGCCCTCGAGGGGCTTACAAAGAAACTGGGGAGATAGAGTTATGACCGGAGAAATCTCCCTGTGGGAGTGCTGAGACTGGGGAGGCAAAGTGGAAGCACCAAAGGACTCTGGGCTTCCATGCCCAGAGTGGACCATTTCCTTGCTGTGTGTCCTCTCAGAGTCCCAGATTCTTCCCTTGTCAAAGAAGAGCCATTTATTCCTCTCCAAACGTACAGAGGTATGGGGAGGGTCAACATCAGAAGGAGATAATGGGGTGAAAAACCTGAGGAAGTGGCAGATCTCTGCACACATCAGGGCTGTCGGGTGCTCAGGGCCCAGGAAGGGGGCAGATGACTGTGACAGGCCTGGGGTCAGCGGTGCTGGTGGCCCTGGCTGGTTTTGGGGGGTGTGCGTTTGAGGTCTGCTTTGTGATGGAGATGAGGGATGGGTAGTACTCTCAGACAAGCAGAAAGAGGTGAAGGGTAGCAGTCAGGCTTGTGTGAGCAAAAATGAAGAGGGAGAAAAGTCAGGGGGCTGGGGTAGGGAAGAGGGGACTGTGAGGTCTGCAGAGGGAAGTAGGGCCGATTCCTGACCTTGTGCTAGGCGTGAATGCATATGGCATCCCCCCCAACCCCCGAATCCAATTGCCAATAGCCATACACAGGAGCTGTTAGTGATCTCATTTGACAGACGAGGAAACCAAGGAATAGAGGGATTCATTGCCCAGGTAAACTCTGGTCCAAAGCTCCATACTTCTCATGGAGACCATCTGCCCTCCAGCACGCTGCTGCGGGTTATATGGTCTGAGAAGCTACTGGCCCATCCTGACTCACTCAGATTGTCTGCCAAACCGTCGCTCCCAACCCATTAGAAACAGAGGATGATGAAAAGGCTGAGGGAAAAGGAAGGCTCATTGGTGAAAGGAAAATAGCAGAATCATTTAGCTCAGAGAAGGCAGACTGGGGCCGGAGGGTGGGGGTGGTGGGCGTTCCAGAGACCCGGTCGAGTGTGGAGATAGCGACGTGGACGTGTATGGGCCACATCTGTCCAGCTCACTGCCCCAGGGCCCCAGGGCCCTGGGGCCTTGGCAGGTTGCCTCAGAAAGTCGTTTTGAAGGTGAGGTTTGCTTGGAAAACTGCTGCCCGAGAGGGAGTCCTTGCCCTGCCCACTCCTGCTACGGTTGAGAGGTGAGCTGTACCCTTCTCCTCCTTTCTGCCTCATTTGCATAGTCATTTGCATCAATCTGCATGCATTATGAATCATTCTGAACTCTCTCACATGTTTAAATTTAGCCAAAGCATTATATTTTAGACGTTGTTTGTTCCTGACACTTCCCCCCACCCCCAAGCTTTCTTTCCTATTTCTCCTACCCCAAATCAAGTTTGAACTCCAGCCCCATTTGGGTCTTGACCTAGTTCTTGGCAAAGAGGTAGATGGAAAAAGCCGTGAGTTCTGAGTCATATCTGGGCACTCTGTTGGCTGTGTGACTTGGGACAACTTGGTTAACCTCTCATCACCTCAGCTTCCCCTAGCCAAGGAAAAAATGAGGACAAGGACCCCTGCCCTCATGAGGGTAAGTACTGGATTTGGAAAGACGGCAAACTGCTGCCAAGTGCAAGGTGTGGGGACTCTGGGATGGGGACACCGGGGAGCTTGGCACCCAGGTGTCAGCAGCTGGACTTTGCTTTCCTGTGTGATAGCCTCAGCCCCACATTTCCACCTGGACTAACATCTAGACATGGGGAACTGGCAGCTACCTGCCTGGACCACTTGTAGGGGCGATAATGTCTCTCTGGTCAGCCAGATGAGGCCTGAAATCCCACCACTGAACTTCATTCCTTGGAAGCTTCTAGCTACTACAAGGCCCATCTCTTCCAGGTGGCTGTACCACAGTGAAGAAAGCACAGGCTGGTGCAGACGGTTGTTGCTGTTGTTCAGTCGCCCAGTCATGTCCAGCTCTTTGTGACTCCATGGACTGCTGCATGCCAGCCTTCACCATCTCCTGGAGCTTTGCTCAAACTCATGTCCATTGAGTTGGTGATACCATCCAACCATCTAGTCCTTTGTCGGCCCCTTCTCCTCCTGCCTTCAATTTTTCCCAGCATCAGGGTCTTTTCTAACGAGTCAGCTCTTTGCATCAGGTGGCCAAAGAATTGGAGCTCCAGTGAATATTCAGGACTGATTTCCTTTAGGATTGACTGGTTTGATCTCCTTGCAGTCCAAGGGACTCTCAAGAGTCTTCTCCAACACCACAGTTAAAAAGCATCAATCCTTCAATGCTCAGCCTTCTTGAGGGAGAAGGAAATGGCAACCCACTCCAGTATTCTTGCCTAGAGAATCCTGTGGACAGAGGAGCCTGGTGGGCTGCTGTCCATAGGGTTGCACAGAGTCGGACATGACTGAAGTGACTTAGTAGCAGCAGCAGCAGCAGCAGCCTTCTTGATGGCCCAACTCTCACAACCATATGTGGCCACTGGGAAGACCATAGCCTCAACTATAAGGACCTTTGTGGGCAGAGTAATGTCTCTGTTTTTCAACATGCTGTCTAGGTTTGTCATAGCTTTCCTGCCAAGAAACAACTGTCTTCTGATTTCATGGCTGCAGTCACCATCCACAGTGATTTTAGAGCCCAAGAAAAGGAAATCTGTCATTACTTCTTCCTTCTCCCCTTCTATTTGCCATGAAGTAATGGGACTGGATGCCATGATCTTACTTTTTTTAATATGTAGTCTTAAGTCAACTCTTTCACTCTCCTCCTTCACCCTCATCAAGAGGCTCTTTAGTTCCTCTTTGCTTTCTGCCATTAGAGTGGTATCATCTGCATATCTGGGGTTGTTGATGTTTCTCCCACCTATCTTGATTCCAGCCTGTAACTCATCCAGCCCAGCATCTCTCACGATGTACTTGGTGTATAGGTGAAACAAACAGGGTGACAGCAGACAGCCCTGTCATACTTCTTTCTCAATCTTGAACCAATCAGTTGTTCCATACAGGGCTCTAACTGTTGCTTCTTGACCTGCATACAGGTTTCTCAGGAGACAGGTAAGATGGGCTGGTATTCCCATTTCTTTAAGAACTTTCCACAGTTTGTTATGATTCACACAGTCAAAAGCTTTAGCATAATTGATGAAACAGGGGTACATTTTTTTTTGGAATTCCCTAGCTTTCTCTATGATCCAGTGAATGTTGGCAATTTGATCTCTGGTTCCTCTTCCTTTTCAAAACACAGCTTGGAGATCTGAAAGTTCTTGGTTTGCATAATACTGAAGCCTAGCATGGAAGATTTTAAGAATGACCTTATTAGCACGGGAGATGAGGGCAACTGTCTGATGGTTAGAATATTCTTTAGTACTGCCCCACTAGGGAACTGGGATGAGGATTGACCTTTTCCAGTCCTGTGGCCACTCCTGGGTCTTCCAGATTTGCTGACATATTGAATGCAACACCTTGATGGCATCATCCTTTAGGGTTTTGAATAGCTCTACTGGAATTCCATTGCATCCACTAGCTTTATTAAAAGCAGTGCTTCCTAAAGTCCACTTGACTTCACTCTCCAGAATGTCTGGCTCTGGGTGACTGACCACACCATCATGGTAATCCAGATCATTAAGATCTTTTTTGGATAGTTTTTCCATGTTATTTTGTACAGTTATTCTTTCCATCTCTTCTTGATCTCTTTGGCATCTACTAGGTCTCTACTACTTCT